AGTTGCAATGGTATGATGATTAGGAGTATTTGAATTATAGTATGAACTAAGAATCCCAGAAATAACGTAATCGGATCAAGAAGTACTAGATAAGCACAAGCGAATGTACTGTATTTGGAATTCGAAATCAAGCATTTAACAAGTACAAAGGAATCATTAGTTCATTCAAACAACACAAATGGGGCCACCAGTCTGAGTTACTCAACATTGTGTGCACTATGGTGAGACAAGATGATGGCTCAATAATCGTAAATACATCACAGTCCTACAGGAGGTCAGTCGCGGTTCGGATAACCAGTGGTAACATCTCTGGCTGTGAAGCTGGGTGACATGTGGTCGAGTTCGTCAGGAAGCTTTAGTTCCCTCAAGATTACAGGTACACCTTGCTGACGAATGTCGAGCAGCACGAAACCCAGATCTAGGGTTCCCTGTTAACTACCTCCAACTAACATATTATCTCAATATTTGTGAAGGAGTTTAATTCATATAAACTTTTATGACAATATAATAAATAAATCAGCGAAATCTTCTATCATAGATATTACGGTCATTCGTAATGTGAAGCAAAAATGTGGCGTCACCTTTGCTCAATCAACTCACCGTTTTCAATAAAATTTAATTTTAGTGATATAATGTCAAGCCCGTATTCTTAACATCAAACTCACTAAATACTTGTGAGTAGTATTCAATATTCTCGAGTGTAAATTAAACCCTTTCAGTGATGATCTCGAAAACCGTATAGTTATTTACATGCTCACTAATCATTTCCTCACTTTTTAATGCTTGATAAACAGTTTCACTGTTCGACTGTTTATATTCAGCTATTTTAGTTCACTAAAATAGGCAGGTTTTCTCCAGTCCGTTTGATCAGTTGTTATGTAGATTGTGGATTAATAAATCATTGGAACTCATCCATTAACTGGTACAAAGAAATGTGGTGTATTTTGCTTATGTCAACAGATATAAGTGGTAATTAACACGAATCGCAAGTGAAAACTCTGGTAGCAGACGTCCAAGAAGATCATGCTGAAGAGAAAACAGAAGTGGTAATAGGAAGGAATTGTGATTTAAAAGAATCATGCAGAATGTGAAGTACCAACAATGGGATTTTGCAAATGAAGTATTTACCGTATGGTTCTCATATCTTACTAAGAATTTCTGTAATTTGTTATTCTAATACATTGGCTGTTTCCAGCCTGTGTTCTCATTCATTACATAAACGTTAAGCTGTTTTTACCAACGTATCTACAGCAGCCAAATACTTATGTAATCTTAACAAATGCAATAACATCTAATCATCTTTGTCTAAGCCAAGATATAATGAGAAGGAATATAAAAATCGAACAGAAGAGTGATTCATTTATTCTTTATTATCATTCCCACAGGCTCCTGAATAAAATGGCCATACATCATAAATCTGTCGTCATGATGAAAAAGATTAAATAGTCAGTAAAAGAATGTACTAAATGTAAAAACAAATATAGATTTCAAAAATTATATCACAATTGAAGGGAATAATCTCATTTATAACCTGTATTGTTAACACAAAAGCTGATGACGAACATAAAACACCGACGTTAGTTACTGGACAGTCATTCAAGTAACCTGATGACCAAAACGTCGTCCGTGCTGATTTTTTTAGTTATTGGTCGAGTGACGTCTATGGGAAGATCTATGTGCGCTGCTTTGACATCTGGTGCGTTCAGTGGAGCTGGTCTACTCAAGAGTCCTTCAAAGTGTTCTGCCCACCTGGTCCACTTTCCTTGGATTGCAATAAGTGGTTTACTCTCTTTGTCCTTGACTAGCCTTTAAGGTTTACCATATTTCCCTGCTAGTTTCTTTGTTGTGTCATATAGTGTTCGTATATTTCCTTCAGTTGCGGCTTTTTCCCCACCATTCCTAGATCTTGTAACGCTTGGGACTCGTTACTTAGAGCTACCTTGAATTAGTTGAGATCGTCAGTATCTAAAAGGAATGGTGTACTGAGCTTTTATAATGATGTTTCTACCACTGTCCATCCTTTCTTTAGCTTCAGTTTCACTTTAACAACCCCCAGGTGGTAATTTAAAGATATGTCAGCCCATCTCTTTGTTCTCAGATCGTCTACTAACCTTCTGAAATTTTAGCGATACAAACATAATGGATTTGGTTCTTTATAGTGTGATCCGGTGAGACCCATATAGCTTTGCGTATGCACGTAAATATAAAAATCGCTCAACATCCCGATTTTGTCATTCGTACCTCTCATCAGGATGGTCAGGTATTTTACTGGTTACTTCCACACGATCGACTTCAGTCTCTCGTACAAAAGTTGATCTTTATCGCTTTCATTCATATCACTGGTGGATGCCCAGTACTGGATAGTATTTGTGGTGGCATTAGGCCCTAATACGAGACAATGTGCAACATTTAACACGGAGAAAAAACCTACGATGGAGAGGACGGGAACAATGAATTGAATTCATTGGAGTTGATCGTATGGCATGGCACGGCCATGCAGGCGTGGTCTCTGCTGAATGTTACCTCATATCTCTCATTCATATTAAACACATTGTTCTATCTCTAGCCTAAGTTTGTTCTCCATAATGTATTGGTGATTGTTACAATGTAGTGATTCGGTGTAGACGATGATGTGACTTCCACGCAAGACCTTATAGATTAGGCAGTTATATCATGACAAATCTACAATTCTAGGACTAGGTCTATTATTAGAGCACTACTAATATCATAGTAGACCATAGTTCTACATATTCATTGCAGTCCATTCCTTCTTTGTTTTGAAGAATGCTTTGATGATTGTGGATCCGTGAGATTTCCATCACTCAGGCACTTTTCGTGCTTCTCTCGACAGCATCAGAACATTTTCTTCTTCATGACCAGAGTGAAATTGCATCGCTCCCAAATCTATCCTTTTCTGTACATATAGTGTCTAACGGGTTTCGCCTATTCCGAGACTCGCCAAGTTGTATTTACTAATTTACGCAGCTATCTGTTCGGCATTCACTATGACGCGTCATAATTCTGCAAAATGAAAACCGTTCAACTCTCATAGTCCAGTCTAAATGGCTTGTTTTGTCTATTTTGACTGGGTTTTTCGTAGAAATTTTTTCTGTCGGATTAGTTTTATGTTTCCACAATTAACGCCCCATTTTACTCCGCCTTGGCACCGGCAATAACCCTAGAAGAGTTACCGACGAGGTTGATCGGTTTGTAGCGTGGTGTCGAGTTGAGGTTAACTATGAACACCGCTACAAAGAAACACGTGCCAAGTAAATCAGAAGGCGTAGGTTGAACGTAACCAAATAAATCCATAAAATCCCCGAGTAGCCAAATATCAGAAGGCAATTAATGGACCAAGTCGAGGTATCGTGGTATCGAAAGGATACCGAGATCGTGCCAGGATACAAGCTTCGTTACAGAACGTAACCGAATTCGCGCGAAGTCACAATCAAAGTGTGTGTATAAGAATGGAAACAAAATATAGCTGTCATTAGCACAGTCAAACAAAAGCACATTAAAGTAAACACTGGTACAGCTGGTTACAATAATGATTGTTTTTATTAAACCAGTCGTGTTCTCGTGATAAATGTGAGTCACTACAGGTTGATCACTGACATAAGTGTTCCGAGTTTATAAAAAGAACTGGTTTAAAAACTTGAAAGTGAAGTGAACGAGCTTGACTTATAATCTGTGAAAATTTCCAACTATATGTTTTGTCTCCATGATGAGACACATTATCAAGGTTGCTTGAGCTCGCGCTTGGTTAACAGTTGAAATATAAGGAGTGACTCAATAAATAACTGAAAATTACTATACAAAGATAAATACAATTTCCGTAAATTTTTGTCATGTAGCAGACTTCACCAATATAATTCATGTGCATTTCGTCATGTTGCATGCTTCAGGTTTGATAAAACTGAACAAATCAATTTAAGTAACACGTGAACGCACATATACATAATCACACATATAAGCATAGAATCACCAGGACATAATCATCTAGGATTATGGTCTAATTCATTATTAGTACTAATATAATATGACCTAATACCATAATTGCAAATCTGTCGTGATGCGACTACCTAATCTATAAGATTTTAAGTGAAAGTCCTGTCATTGTCAATCCTTAATTGTCGTATCATGACACTCAACGATAAGATGCTCAGCACTTTTTGACTGGGGAGAGAATAGTATATTCAATGTGGAAATACATCAGTTACACAAGAATGACCACACCTGAATAGCTGAGCCACACTATCCGAATAATTAATTGCCCGAGCGTTCTCCATTGCTGACCCTCGCTCCGTGTTAGTTGTTGAATATGAATTTTCCCAATAATCATATGTTCAGCTCCAAGATCATGTGGTTAGTAACCACTACAAACATATGAAGAGTATTCCATGAATGTGACCGATTCCTACGAAAGGAAGGTTAGAAAGACTCGACAACCACATGCTATCCAAGTTATTAGTCAGCCTGAAGCCTAGGATAAATAATGAAGTGTTCAATACGATATGCTACAACATATATATATCTTCAGGATGTGTATGTGACAATTCTAAAAACATCGAAGAGGTTAGCTCCTTATTCTATTGTGGTTGCCGTCAAAAAATATTTGAAAGAAAAACCTGTTATCCAAGTCAAGGTCTCGCAGTAAAGTCCTCATAGACATTCTAGCTGTGAGAGTGTCTTATTAGTACTGCGGATCCTAATTAATAGTGAGTCAACTGCTCATTATTCTCGTTCGGTCAGTTAAACTCCACTGAGCCCTACCCCAACGTGTTTTGCGGGGCAACATGGAATAAGCACCTTACCATACTAAACACAATCAGGGATCAGTGGTCTCGTAATACGCAATAGATAAACTAACTGAATAAGACAAGTGTGTCATGTCTGTCCGTCATAACTATGTTTTAGAAAACGACGAACGCCCTAAAAACCTAATAAATAATCTCTAAGTCTAACTTCATAAAATGTAAATAGTTTGAATACTGGCAAAAGGGATTATTTTGTGGAGCTGAATACGAACATTGCGTCACACCTCGTGTTTCGTTTAGAATTGGGACCTGAGTTGTCGTACTACCATCTTTTTGCCTTTGCAGTAATGTAAGTCAAACATTTAAAATTTATGTTGAAAATCTGGCCAACGTTTTACTCCTGTAACTAACTGGTTTTGTACTCACGGTAAAAGTTCTTGTTATTAATCATGTCTCAATTAACCAACAAAGCGGAAATAAAGGCTAACAAAGGGGAAAATGTGTTGGAAAATAAAGGGGGAACGCGCCAAAATATCTGCTTTCTCGCCTGTCCGGGGGAAATAACGAGGATTTTCCCCTTTTTGTCGCTCAAATGTCGCTGAATTGTCTAACTTTCGCCTAAATATCCGCTGAATTGACTACTTTTCGCCTAGATATCCGACGAATTGTCTTCCTTTCGGCTGAATATACGCCGAATTGTTTACTTTTGGTCCAACTTTTAAAGTACCACCGGCATAACCCCAAAGGTCTCCCATGTTCGCCTTTATCCCTACAACAAACCACAATAAAACTGTAATCCACGGGGAAAATGGCATATGTTTGAATAACTTTATTGAAAAGGAAAAGCGTGTTATTGTACAACATTATAGCAGGAGCTTGAGCATCAATCGTGATGCATTTTCATTGTAATTTCCAACTCATTGTTATTTGAAAAGATCGGCGAGACTCTAATTTAGCGACGAGCCAATCAGAAGCGTTTGAGCAATTTCAAGGTCACGGAGCCAAGTTCAACACGCGATGCTAACATACGGTCGGTTCACAGCGGATTTTAGAGAGGAGGTGATTAATGAGAGGTTAAAACAGATGGGACGGCGAAACTCTAATTTAGGGACGAGCCAGTGAGAAGCGTTTGAGCAATTTCAATTATTAGCCAATCAGAAAACAGTATAAAGTAAAAATATATTACAAGAAAGTAATGAATTACAGTGGATATTCTTCTTTTACATGAGTTAAAAACTTGTTGAGGTTTGATAAAGGCTCAGAAGTTCTGAATTCATAATGCATATTGTATAGAAACTCGTCCATAGGGTTAGGGTTTGGGGTTAATGTTAAGGTTAGGGTTTAGGTTTATGGTTAGGGTTAGATTAGGGTTTAGGGCTAAGGTTAGGGTTTAGGGTTAGGTTAAGGTTAGGGTTTAGGGTTAGGTTAAGGTTAGGGTTTAGGGTTAGATTAGGGTTTAGGGTTAGGTTAGGGTTTAGGTTTATGGTTAGGGTTAGATTAGGGTTTAGGGCTAAGGTTAGGGTTTAGGGTTAGATTAGGGTTAAGGTTTAGGTTAAGGTTAGGGTTAGATTAGGGTTAGGTTAAGGTTAGGGTTAGGTTAAGGTTAGGGTTAGATTAGGGTTAAGGTTAGGGTGCTAACATGCGATCGGTTTACATCGGATTTTAGAGAAGAGATGTATATTGACAGGCTACAACCCTAACCACTAACCCTATAGACGAGTTTCTATACAATATGCATTATGAATTGAGAGCCTCTGAACCTTCATCAAACCTTACAATATATTCTCACTTTATACTAACTGTCTTCTGATTGGCTAATAATTGTCAAGGTCATTTAAGATTCGTTCAAAGGTCGTCGCTAAATTAGAGTCTCGCCGAAAAGATCTGCAAAAGAAGAAACGGTGATGTATTATTAATAAGGCCTGTGCATTTAATCGCAAGTTCACTGACAATCAAACAATCTTTCTCGACACTTCAATAGTTTCCCATGTAAGTAATAAAGTAAGCTCATTTACAAAATAACGTTTAAAAAATAAATAGGACATAAAAGACATTTCACGGATTACTTCCTTTAGTGACGCATTTTCGGCTATTGAGGATGAAAATAATCTTCCTGTGAGTTCTGAAGTGTAAAGAACAAGAGAAGCTACAATGATATATGAATGACATGCTTTGGCACAGCCAGATACTTGAAGCTTCACTTACGGTTATGTTCCTTAAAACCGTTGACTGTAACTATAGAGCAGTAGGGAAGTTATCACTTTAAATTAGTACATACCTGTTCTTTTTTCCTCCCATTACGCTTTGTCAATTTATCTCTAACACCGTGAAAATAACCTTGTGTCGCGATGTCGTACAGCTTCACAAGGTCTTTTTCGTTGACAGGGGATGACAAAAAGCGATTTGTTAATGCACCTAAAGTTAAGATAATAGATATAGGTTACTTCGTAAGCAGCCGTGAAACCGGCATTTCTGAAGTGCTCGTTTTGAAGAAGTGCCAATCAGCGTAAAATTACTGGTCACCTCAGGTGTCATGAGATGCGACAAAACATATCGCATTGAGGTTTTAGGATCATCATCCATTGATCTCGTTACCATTGCCATGTGTAATACGAACAAATTAATAAATTAATGTTGTTGATTTACAAACCTGTCCCTGGTTTCTTCCTGCTGCAAACCAGTGTCCAGCATCTGCAGTTCCTCTTTAGATGACGAAGGGAACTGCTGACTTGATAGTCCGCATTCGAATTGATGCGGATGTTCGCGTTCACTGAACTTCGCTGGTAACAGCTTTACATTTGTACTCAAGTCAGTGATACCTGACGACATGTTCTGCACCATTGTATACAACCTATCAAATCTTATAAACTTCACTTGATAGTACAGGTGACTTACTGGGCCGCTGAAACACAACCTACATGCTTAGATTCTAATGTTGACGGTGATGTATCTAATTGTGTCGAACCAATTCATTAACATCTAAATAGTAATGAAATGTACTGGGCATTTGGCGAGGCGACTCTGTCAAACCACCGAAATTTCGGATATTGTACGTGGCTATTTCCAGCCTGCATCTCGGCAACATCCATGTCTACTGAATTGTAAAGAAATCCTTCTTTACGCTTCAATGCACCTCTAGGAAATGTTAGTAAGATTATCGTACTGACCTCTTGGGCTTTTCAGTGTTGAGTGGCAAGGTGTTTTCTTCTGTTGAAGTGTTTTTACGGTGAAGTTCCAGTATTTGGAGGGAAACTAACATATTCTTTGCAGACTGCAGAGAATCTGTATTAAATTATAGTTTCTATGTTTGTTACTCACCGAATTCGTGAATTACTTTACATTTCAGAACTGACCAATTGTCATCTGGTCGGTCTCAGTTGTGCAGGTGGAGGATATCGACCAGCTCAGTTGGAAAAAGGCAAAGTTCTTTGCCAACAATCCACTGCTTGGCTGCTATCATAAGTTGTTTCTTGCTAGGAACGTCAACAATAATGTATTGTTTGTTAGCGGACTAAACATAACATAAGAGGTAATGAAATGGTTTATGATCATGAATTAAGCACAAATGAAACAACATACATTCACATAAAAGTATGCAACAATGGAACTATGACTAAATAATTGATACAATTAATGGCTATACATTTACAGTCAATGTCCTTAACCGTACCCATGTGTGTTCATGGCTAACTACTGAGCACATAAATATTCCTATATCACTGGATGGGAAAGGATCTTCGATGTAATTGCGTGGGTCAGTGAAAGACCTAAATTTTAGTAGTCCATCCTCCCCTATATCAGTAAATAAACCAGGCTGTCCGTCTACTACTACAACATTATCAGGCTGAAATAAAGTTATTTTACTGATCTTAAACATAATTACTTGTTTATTGGAGACCTCCTTAGCGGCTATTGGAGTAGTGTTAGTTAAACAGCTAACTTGAAGCCAATCGCCCCCAAATGCCCTGGTATGACCGAGAGCGGGGTGGGTTCGCCATCCCCCTCGAAATACTCCCACACGACCACGCGTATACAGCCTCAGTCAGGGAAGTCCTACTCACTGCCTTCTCGTGGCGGGGGTGTCGTTTACGAAAATGAGAGGACGAAAAGCAAATGTCCGGCGCTTTAACCGAGTTGGTGGACATAGGGAGTCCACCTAGGGGAGCTGGAATACCCTGATTACAAGCCAATGGTGCACATGGGCTCCAGTATCCTACGGGAACAAATGGCGTATGAACCAATCGTTAGTCACCGGCTACCATGGGATTGCATCTCCTCACGATGCTCCACTGCCTTGTGGGTTAGACCTTTAGGTCAAGGGCTCTGGGTGTGTCCCCCTAAGATAACCACCTGCTTTGGTCTGGGCACCCGGGCACTATCTCAGCCCGCACACAAAAACATGATAAACTGTCTACTTGCGAAAAATATTCCTCTCCCTGCAAATAAAAATCACGTGTCTCGCATTATTATTATTATTATTATTATTATTATTATTATTATTATTATTATTATTATTATTATTATTATTTACTACGTCATTATTCACCCTCTTTTATTCCCACTCTGTTTATACTTATTTTTTCGACTTATACAGCAGCTCGTCTTTGGTGGAAATTCGGTTCTATCTAAACGTTCTCGAGTCACTGTCCGGTTGAAAATTGTATGTTACCACCGAATATGAGTACTGAAGCAGTTTTTCTAAAACTACGTGCACCATTCAAACTGGCTGCCTTCAACGTTCGCACATTTATGCAGGTCGGATAACAGATAGGTCTGGCTATGTCTTTGGAAAGTCTTAATATCGACGTGTGTTGTCTATCCGAGACCCGTATTCAAGACTCTGGTGAAGTACTACAAATTCGCTCTCCATCTGTCCCTTCAAAAAGCTTGTTTTACGTGCGTTTATCCGGGGACCCTGTGGCATCTTCGTCTGGTCTTGCTGGCGTTGGTGTCGCACTGAGCGCTAAAGCTGAAGCAGCACTAATCAATTGGATCCCCATTAACAGTCGGTTATGCGCTGTTAGATTATAAAGTTCCATCAAAGCGAGAAGAAATCGGCGTGAGAAACGATGTCTTTTCGTCATCTCCGCCTATGCACCGACAGATTGCAGCCCGGATGCAATCAAGGATGAGTTTTACCACCAGTTATCTGTTCTTTCTCCAGAAAGTGCGTTCGACAGATATTGTAGTACTAGCCGGAGACTTGAATGCTCAGGTTGGGCGTCTAAGCACAGAAAAGAGTCGTTTAGGTGGCCGACGGGGACTTGTTGGTCACAGGACAGGTAACGAGGACCGTCTACTGCAACTGTGCACAGACCACAACCTGTTTCTGGCTAGCACTAACTTTCGGCACAGTCATCGCCGATGTGCCGCTTGGCGTCCTCCCTCTGCATCTCAAGCCTGGACTCAGATTGATCACATCGCGATCAGCTACCGCTGGCGTGGCTGTGTACAAGACTGCCGCTCGTTTTAAAATACCTATCTGGACTCTGACCATGCCTTGGTCTGCGCCAATCTTACCTTACTTTTCATTGGACAACGAAGTGACCGCCATCAACGGATTGATATTAGCAAGCTGGTTGCAATTTCTGTTGCAAGTAAGTATCGAACCGAGCTAGCCTCTAGGCTAGCTACCACTCCACCGAAAAGTATAGATGAGCATTGGTTGCGATGGCATGACGCCATAAAAATGGCGGGTACAGTCAGTTGTGGGTTCGCGAAACGTCCCGCTTATAAGCACTGGGTTTCTGCAGGTTCCTTACAACTCATTGAAGCATCTGGTAACTACCGGAAGCTCTTCCAACTCATTCAAGCCACTGGCAGCAAGAAGTCTGGTGTGAGTGAAACAATCTGCGAGGATGATGGGATGCCAATCACTAACATTCATCGACGTCTTGGACGATGGGCAGAATTTTTCGAAGGGCAGTTCAACTGGCCTGTTGCTCCGGCAACATCGGTCAGACTGTCCTGCCCTCCATGGCCGGTGACGACTGATCCACCAAATGAGGAGGAAGTCCGCAAGGAACTCCAACTCTTGAAGCGTTACAAATCACCTGGCCCAGATGACTTACCTCCGGCTCTTTTTAAAGATGGTGGTGACTTTTTGACTAAGGAATTGACGACGTTGTTTACAAAGGTTTGGGAACTAGAGAGTGTACCAACGTCATGGAATGAGTCGATAGTTGTCCCTATCTTTAAAAAGGGTTCACGTCGTTCTTGTAACAACTATCGGGGGATAAGTTTACTTCCGATTGCGTCCAAGCTATTGGCTTCCGTCATTCTTCGTAGGTTGTTCAAAACCCGAGAAAGATTGACTCGCGAGGAGCAGGCTGGGTTTCGTTCTGGTCGAGGATGTATTGATCATATCTTCACCCTCCGCCAAATGTTAGAACACCGCCATACTTTTCAAAGGCCAACAATCGTAGTGTTTCTTGACATCAGGGCTGCCTTCGATTCGTTGGATAGGACTGTTCTCTGGGATTGTCTATTGAAGAAGGGTGTGCCTGAGAAGTTTATTAACATCCTAAAAGCCCTGTATAAAAACACCTCAGGCAGAGTGAGGGCATACAACCACCTCTCTCCATTGTTCCATTCGAGCAGTGGGGTTAGACAGGGTTGCCCAATCCCACCATTCCTCTTCAACTTTGCCATCGACGACATTCTGGAAACAGCTCTGATGGATGTAAGTAATGGCGGTGTGGATCTGTTGCCTGGAGAAAGACTTCTCGATTTTGAGTATGCGGATGATATTGTCTTACTGTGCGATAATGCCCAAGGCATGCAATCCGCACTTAATCAGTTGGCTATCAGTGTCCGTAGGTATGGTATGTGTTTTGCACCTTTGAAGTGCAAAGTACTTCTACAAGACTGGTGGGATTCTAATCCTGTACTCACTCTAGATGGGGAGCAGATAGAAGTAGTCAAGAAGTTCGTGTATCTGGGTTGCAGCATAAGTACTGGTGGGGGCGAGTGATGAGACCAATGCCCATTTAATGCAAACCAGGGTGGCTTATGCCAACCTGGGCTATCTTTGACTCCGTGATGTTAGTCTGGCTGTAAAAGGCCGGATCTACAACGCGTCGGTGAGAGCAGTTTTGCTCTATGCTTGTGAAACCTGGCCTCTCCGAGTTGAGGACGTTAGACGACTCTCTGTGTTCGATCGTCGCTGTCTCCGAAGGATTGCTGACATTCAGTGGCAACACCATGTTATTAATGCAGAGGTTCGGCATCGTGTGTTCGGGCACAGAGATGATAACTCAATTGGTGTCACCATCTTGAAACACCGACTTCGGTGGCTTGGACATGTTCTCCGAATGTCGTCCCAGAGAATTCCACGTCGTGCATTATTTGCCGACTCTAGGACTGGTTGGAAGAAGCGGAGAGGTGGTCAGTGCATGACATGGTGTCGTGGCATGAAAGAAAGCTGCAAAGGACTGACTTCTGTTGGTCCTTCACAACTCCCTGGCTAGGGTCCGAGAGATGGTGCCACACAGTGGCCAGAGACGTTATCAGATATGGCTCAGAATAGAAACCAGTGGCGATCCTGCTGTAACCTTCTTTTACTTTCTTCGTAAAAAGTGGTTGCTTCTTTCTTAACTGAAAGATTTCTTCTGATTGTACCTTTCCGTTCCCCCATTATTACTATTATTATTATTACACTACCTTACACCAATCTATTCGTTATTGTTCCCCTTTTCCTTCACGCTCCTTACCTTTTTTTTTCTTCCTTGTTTTTAAATTCTCATTGTTTTGTGTGGCGCATATATATTTGGTGCCCTCTTGTACCAATATTTATGTGTTCAAATAAATTAATAAATTTACGATTCATTGTTGAAGTGCTCTGAAGGATCAATAGATTATTACAAAATCTATCTACCAGGGATTCATATTAGTAATCTGACAAGTAACCAGAAAAGGACATAACCTACTAATTAATGATCGCAAGGCGCAAAGAGTAAAAAATTAGTCGTAAGCCTATTATACATCGGGAAAACTCACTGATGTTGCTCCATAATATTTTACGTCTTTTTTATACATATACTCAGTGAATTGTAACAAGATTTTAGCGGGACATGAAATTATCTAAAAAGTTCTTAAAATATGTAGTGTATTTGAACCACGTAACAGGAATATCGGAAAGACTCGGAGTCAGCATTTTCACGCTATTAAAAATTTATGTTCGCAAGCTTATGTAAACCAGATCCTCGATCGTGTTTCAACTGGTGAAACTATGTTTGTAACATTCAATGGATGTTGTGAAACAGTTTATTGATAAGGCCAATTAAGATTTCCATTTCGTTTTACCTGAATTTTGAAGTATTTTCATTATTTTTATCCTATCCATTTTAACTTTTCAGAATCTTCAATCTAGTTAGAGATTACAAACTTTTCTTATTCAAGCTCGTTTAACTTAATTATATCCTGGACTTTACACAAATGGTCGCTGACGGCGAATATTCCGATGTACACTTTCTGCAATCTAATATTTCACTTTATGAGGATTCTTCTCTGATAGACACTGGAACCTTAAAAATATCTGAGGAGTAAGTTATGGAAATAGGTTATATTAAAAATTTACATGAAATATAATGATATCGTTAGGCTTATCACTCATACTGGATTATTAAAATACTGAGTTTACTTTCCAATAGCTGGTGAAAAATCAGTTTTGTTCGTGTAAAAAGAATTAAACTAAATAATCGAGAAATCACATTTGTTGTATTTTTATATGTACTGTGTATTTCCTTACATTTCACTTTCCCTCATCCAGATCACTTATCTTAAAGACAATAAAATCGCGATAAGTTGCTGACAAATCACCAAAAAACTCATGTTAGTTCCCACCAATAGTTAGGCAAAGCTAACTGGATAATTACCCTTGGGCTCTGTGTACGGATTCCAAAGAAATAATATACGTCTAGACCACCTATTAGCACTGTGCGCAATTCTAACTATTGTTAGGGGCGGTCAAACCAAAACGTGGCATCAGTCCATAAAATCACTAACTTCTGGTCTAAGCTATCTTGGTAGATGCAGACTACTCGGTTGGGGTCCACGTGACTATCGTAACCAATGGTTGGAGACTCTGTGTGACATGAAATGCCCTGGTATGGCCGAGAGTGGGATGGGACCGACCTCCCTCTCGAACTGCTCTCACACGGTCACGCGTATACAGCCTCTGTCAGGGAAGACATACTCACTGCGTTCTCGTGGCGGGGGTGTTGCTTACGAAAATGAGAGGACGAAAAGCGAATGTCCGGTGCTTTAACCGGATTCCAAGCCAATGGTGCACATGGGCTCCAGTATCCTACGGGAACAAATGGCGTATGAACCAATCGTTAGTCACCGGCTACCATGGGATTGCATCTCCTCACGATGCTCCACTGCCTTGTGGGTTAGACCTTTAGGTCAAAGGCTCTGGGTGTCCCCCCCTAAGATAACCACCTGCTTTGGTCTGGGCACCCGGGCAGTATCACAGCCTACACACACACAAATATGGTGTGGCGCATATATATTTGGTGCCCTCTTGTACCAATATTTATGTGTTGAAATAAAATAAAATACTGTGTGACATGGCTCAGAATCGATCACAATGGCGTCGGTGTATACACTCTCTATCTTCCCTTAAACTAAGAGATTAAAATTGCTTCATATCTTTCTTTCTACGAACTAATTCTTTCTTCCTGTATTATTATATCCTTATATGCAATCTTTCTTTTATATATTACCACCACTGAATCAACTACTTCTGTCAATCCGGTGTTCATTTTGTTGTGCTAATGAGGTGTGGCAACTTGGATCATTGTACATATGAGCCTGGTCCTACGTTGTAGCTGACTGACTAAAACGACAGAAATAAGTAAGATGCAACCAGGCGCACAAATATTTATCAATCTTGTTATATTTTTACTATTGACTAAAATTACACATTAATTGTCACTTTTCACTCCACCTCTAGTCTAAATTGAATATTCATAACTATTTAAAAGTTCTCCTTGAAAATAGAAGTAATATTGATTCCTTTATACTTGTAGATGTTTTACATGGGAAGGTACATCAAAAAAATTCTTTATTCCTTATTCACAAATAACCTTACATGCTATTGCCAGGAATACGGTAGACCAGACTGGAGATCATCCCAATAATTTGTTTCCTCACCCACATTTATTAGTAATGATCGACGGAGATCGTGTATGGGATTCAAATAATACTAATAATTTATCTGATACGAAGTCACAGAACGAGCAAGATGGCATGCAAATTGATGCAGAAGGTTCAGATGAAGAAAAAGAAGACTCTGATAGTGACCGCGCTCCAGACTGCCCTGGTTCTACGTCCGTCCTCCGCTTGGTTCCACAAGATTCTGCACAGCTCGAAGACATGTATAAAGCACTAGCCGACTGTCAAGCATTAAATCCGGATCCTGAAGATGATAATTCAGACTTCGAGGGTTTTGCAGAAGATGATGAATATGAAATTAATAATCAGGGTATGGAATTCGAAAACCATACGAATAGTGAGTTTTATTACTAAATAGTTGAACGAATTTCTGTGATAAGTTTATCATCTTTTCCAAACGAGTTAAATAACCACTAAGGCAACGTGAAACTATTGTGAGAAGTAATCTTAAGTGCATAGTTCGGTTTAATTTCTTGCTACATACCTTTGTCAGTAGGGGGATTTGTAGAGATTTTATTATTTTTAACAGTTCAATTCATGAGTCGATCTACGCTGGATCACCATCGAAGACCTGAAAACACTGGACAACCGTTTCGTCCCAGTATGGGACTCCTTGTCCAGTGCCTCCAGGTTTTCAATGTTGGTCTAGCTCAGATCGACTCGTGAATTCAACTGTTAAAAATATTTCTTATTACTGTTCAAACTTTTTACATCTCATCCTCTTTCTAGAAGTCCACACCTATCATACTGTTCGAAATTTACACTTCGTTGTTACAAACATATTGACCTAAAATAATGTTACACTACAAAATATAAAACTAATGTCATAAAATGATATTCCGACTTTAAAAATTCGTGAACTCGCCTATTTATCCCGGCTTACCAACAACCTTACATGTATACCCATGTGCTGTCTTCTAATAACTAGTGATTACTTCCTTTGATACTCATTGGTTATTTGAGTCATGCTCTTTTGAAATAATGAGTTTTAATAGCATAACAAATAATTAGACAAATGTTCATCAAATCTCATTCATATGATTCATGATAATTGTGAAGGTGTTCGTAAGTTATACGTTGCATAACCATATTATTTTATCGCACAATTTCCTCTTTAACACTTCAGTAGTTAATTCAAAGTTAGTTTTATCAGTGAATGTTTAGCTATGTTAGACTGATCATTTTTCTGATTGATTATTTGTTTTTGATTGATGTCAGACCACCATTGCAAACCTAGAAGCACTAGACGGCCATTTCGTCCTATTGTGGGACTCCTCAACAATGCGCATTTCTCTAAATAAAAGTTTTTAGCGTCAGTTATTGTTTGATACAGTTTTATAATATATAATCATACATCCTATGAAGCCAAAACTGTTTTCTGACTTTATTCAGACTAAAGTGCAGTTGTCTAGGTGCGACTTAGCTGTATGATGGATGTCCCCAATATCTCATATCGAAACAAATTCAATAAAATAATATATAACGCAGCCCTCATTTCAGATAGTTTTGACTTTTTAAGGGTATAATTATGTTCCCAATAATTTGGTTCCATAACAATAATAACATTATGTCAAATATACGCTACTAGGAACGATGGCTTAATGGTTAATTCAATTTTCCAAGCAGTTGGTCACAGGTTTCCGCCTGCCTTGACTTAGGGAACTGGATAGTAAATCAAATCCTAGTACATACATTTGTATTTTATAAATAAATAAAATATTGGTGAATCTCATCATGAACTATAGTCGACGACATTTATTTGTTCGTTATTTTCAATGATTAAAAATTTCCACCGCTCGTTTTTCAAAACAAATTGTAGATAATGGAAGATTCGGTGAACCGGACCAGTTCGCAGATGCCTAGCACTTTTTTGTAAATTAATTGATGTATTTTGTAATTAACGGTTTAAAACAAATATATTTCCCATTTTATTGAATATTGTTTTCCTCCTCAGTAAGCACATAATACCTAGTTATCTTCAAAATCATGGTAAACTAGAATCCATAGTTATAAGGTGGAACCCTACGTAGACAAAAATAACTCGAGAGGTATCAAACGAAGGTCTTGGATTGAATTAATACTTAAAGTCTTCAATAAAATTATCAACACAGTTCGGCGAGCTGATTTATATATTTTCTTTTACCTTACATGCAAATGATCCCTTCATAAACAATTGTTATTTTATATTGACTGGACTTCTCTGTCGTAGCAATTCGTTCAAGATCAAATCTCCAAAGATTAGTGACTGTAAATTGTACTGTGCTAGGGCATGTATGCTGGGAAAGGGATGAACAGCTGCACAGTAAAGAACTTACAGCACCAATTCTCCTAGTAGTACTGGGAATTTACTCGAGAATATTCAAAAGCCAGAACACCAGTTGTTGGGATAGTGAGTGTATTAATGATAATTAATAAAATTCGCGAGCACGCAAAAGCCAAGTGCATTGGGAAGGAAGAATGTAAAGGTTGAGAAATCCATGTATTTTATGAGTGCTAATTATCTGTGGGTAAGTCGTTGATTGTCTGTGTAAACAAACAATGGGGGGATAGATAAAGATTGAGCTCAATTAGGCTCACACATACTTTTACATAGCGGGTTAATTGTCTAAATTACAGCAGGTGGTAGGTGATAAAAAATTCAATGAGCTTACTACTGAATTCCAAAATAATGCAAAAAGTATCAAGACCATTGATAATCTACACAAATAGAAAATTGCGGGACTTTACTTAAGCAGTCAGTAGAATATGTGTTCGAGTTTTGGTCTCGTAATCGACAATTATAAGAAGTAACCAATAGTTCCAAATATGATAGATATAATTCAAAGTAAATAATCACGTAATGGGAATGTCTGCAAACGCAAATAACGGCAACTGATAAGTGAGAACAAGAAGTATATGTGTGCAGCAATGTATCTAGGAACGAAAATCAGCGTTTTATGCGAGCACAGAACAGAATAGTGTCAGAAGATCAAACCTAAACAACCATTTAACAGTCAATAATAGTAATTATATATATAACAATCTCCATAGTAACCATCATAATTATGAAACTAAAAACCATGGCGGAAAAATCTACTACTGAGTAAAAAACAAAGTTTATAATGGAAAAATCTTTCTTTTTAAGATTATGGTTATTATGTTTATTATGTTATCATTCAAATACGATTGTTTTTACAATACACATCTAACTCTCATATTCAAGATAAGAATTGAACTCTTCAAAGTATGGAAAAAAAGATTGTACTTCATATATTCCATTCAATCATCATTATCCCTCTTTCAATTTTATTGAACAAAATTGTTTGTTTGGTTCAATGTGAATGAAAATCTCAATTAAGGCAAATTAGTAATATTTATTTTTAAAAAAAAGATGTTTTCCATATGTCATTAAGATATATCTCTATGTAAGTTATAGATCTAAGCTCAAAATTCTTGTTTATGATATTTGTGGAAATCTTCTAGAGAAAAATAATAAAATCAATATTTGGAAAAAAATGTTGAACTTGGTAATTAAAAAGTACTAATAACAATAAAAACAACAGCAACTGGAGGTAGATGTATACAATAATCAATAATTGTCTTTGAGATAATAGATACATGTTATAATCTCTTTCTTACAGTTACAACTCAGCTATTCCTATTGCTTAGTCCCCAAATCAGAACACGGTTGAACAGGAAAAAGATTATATTTCAAATAACAAGGTTAGATGGAAGTAAGAAGCAAGTAAGCAGTGCAATAGGGAAAACGTCAGTATATTCATAGTCTTTACATGAGAAGATTCTAGAGTATTCTCCAAGTACCGATTGGTGCTGATTGGATAAGAATTAGCCAATCAGCGTGCAGCAAAGTAATCATGCATTGAGCATGCTTTAATCCAGTCTATGTCCCGCTAACAATACAACTTTAAAATATAAATGTAATATTGAACACTTGTATAATATAGGTTCAGAAAAAAAACAGCAAAGTATATTTATCCAATTTTTATTCAAATGTGACTAAATCATACGTCAAGCTCATTAAAGATAGGCCTAACAAGTATTTTCTTCCTTCAAACATGTTCGCACTACATACGACGCGTTGTTCAATAGCACGAACGGCGGCAAAATGGTCACTATATGTCATCTCGACCTGCTTACATCAATCCAAACGATGGACATTTACACGCTTTGTTCAATATATTTGAAAAAAACAGTTTCGAGGACAAATGTTCTACGTAGTTCCATAGTCCGATAACTAAGACTGGGCATAGAATGAATGCAATAGGTACATTTAAGCTAACCAACAAAACAGCCTAATTCTAGATCATTCAAATTTGTGAATTATAGCCCAAACCTGCCCTTTATATTCAAAAAATCAGTGATGCCTCCCTCAAATTTCCGACACAATGTATTCCATGGTCTCTCTCTTTTCTATTTCCCTTCAGGATTCCAAATTAGGGCTTGTTTCATGATGCGGTCTGATGATTTTCATAATCTTCATCCTACCAACCTGTAAAGTATTTTCTCTACAGCCAGAGCTAGCTTGTTTTCTCCCACAGTAGCCTGTTGTTAATGACATCTAGTCAATGGATATTGAGTATCTTGCGTGTTCTTAAATTCCTGTACATTATTGATGACGGTTGTAGTAGTTCTCCACGTTTCAGCTCCGTACAATAGAACTGTCTTGAAGTTTATATCGAAATTCTGACCTTGATGTTGGCTTGCAGACAGTTGTTCCACATGTTCACATCTTCGATTGTGGGAATACTGCTCTTTGTCAGTCTCTGCACCCACACATGCATCAAGTCCTCCAAATTACAAATGACGCTGACCAGATATCTGAAAGTCTCCACCTCTTCCAGAGCATCTCCATCAATTGTAATTGTGTTGGTGCTGTGCTGTATTTCAGGATCTTGCTTTTTTCTTGTGTATGTTGATGACTACTTTTGCACATACGGTTGCTAAACTGACTGTCTTCACCTTTATGTGTTGGTTTACGATAGAAGATCTAGGTCATCTGCCAAATCCAAATCGTCTAGCTACAACAAAGCGGTCTATTGTGACAAAGTTACCATAAGGTTTTACTCTCCACTAAGAAAAATCCTTTCTCGTAGTTAAGGACCTTGCAGTGTAGTGGCTTGTCTTCGAAATAAATCCTTAGGTTACGTTCATCAATCACCCTGATAACCGTTATTAAGTAAATTCCGATGGTGTATGAACTCAGAAGGCAAAAACAAGCAGCGATTACAGTTTATTAGCGGATAGCACATTCAAGTGACTGCTCAATAATAATCTATGGTATTCTACGTAACCTTTCATTTGATTCAACAACATTGTTGAAAACTTTTCCCGGTAGTGATAGTCCATACTACTTATGCGTGTCGACGCCAGTCGGAAGTAGGTAACATGGCAGCAGAAGGCTTAAAAAATCGATTTGGGGAAAACAGAACGAGGATAGAAAGTGTGTATGACTTAGAAAAATCGTTGAGAATGTGAAAGACAATTGATGAGAGATTTCTAAATGAAGTAATTAATGTACGTTTTTCACGTTTTACGAATTCTGTAATTTTCTTCAAACAATGAATTCGTTGTCCCCACCAGAGTTCTCATCCGCTACAACACTAATGTGATGCTTTAGTAATCCTCACACTTTCTCGGATCTTATTTTCTCGGTATCCTTCTTTACAGTCTGTTGGCACTTATTCTTCCTCACAAATCTTTCTCAATAAGATGTGGAGCATGTTTGCAGTTACTCCTATTTCTGACTTTAGTGCTTCAACTGGTGTGTTATCTAGTCCTGATACTTACCCACTCTTGCTATGTCTGATACCCGTGCCGATTTTTTTGGTCGCTGATCGAGTGACATTCATAGGGAAATCAGTGTGTGGTACTTCGACGTCTGGTGGGTTAGGCGGAGTTGGTTTATTCAAGAGCTATTCAAAATATTCTCACCTGTCCCTCTGTTCATGAATCCCAGTCATTGGTTCGCCTTCTATGTTCGTGACTAATCGCTTTAGTTTACTATATTTCACTACCAGTTTATTCGTTGTACCATGTATTTGTCTTACATTTCCTTCATTTGCATCTTTTTCCGCCACCATTGCTAAGTCTTACACGTGTTTCTACTTGTCGAATCTACAGTTCTTCTTCACCCTCTTGTTTTTTCTGTGTATTCAGTCTGTGCCTTGGCCTTTTCTGATAGTGTTCGACAGTGGTTAAATGCTGTCTTCTGATCTCATGCCCGACACCTTATCATTTTTCGGGCTTTGGATCGGCAGTAACCGTAGCAGCGTTATAAGAAGAGCCGTGAGTAGTGCGTTACAGACTAGAGCTGAGGTATTACAAATACCCTACATTAATAATAATCACGTGCGCACTGGTGACTAGCTTCAGGATGCAACTCCTAGGACTTTGGTGAGAAACCGAGACCAGTGGAGTTTTATCGGTGTCGAGTGTGAGAGTTATCCACCACAGACAATTAATGAAGGTTGCACAATATCGTAAACCAGTTGTAGTCATTAACGCCGTTGGATGCTAAGTCAATGATCCAAAGGTTTAGCGTCAGCACATGTAACCGAAGTCCCTGGGTTCGATTCCCAAGGAGACAGTTGTAAATGCGGACTCCTTTACTAGGACGAAACGGTAGTCTAGTGCTTTCAGATTTTCAATGGTGGTCGATCTAGTTGAGATTAGTTGATGATTTAGACTGGAAAAAATTAAATCTGAAATAATATAGGGGTTGTGGAGATTATTAAGTTTTTGATTGAGATCATGAACCGATTGATGTTAGACCACCACCTTTGGAAACCTGGAAGCACTGGACGGCTGTTTCGTCCTGTTGTGGGACTAACATCAATCGGTGCATGATCTCAATCAAAAACTTAATAATCTCCACAACCCCTATATTATTTCAGATTTAATTTTTTCCAGTCTAAATCATCAACTAATCTCAACTAGATCGACCACCATTGAAAATCTGAAAGCACTAGACTACCGTTTCGTCCTAGTAAAGGAGTCCGCATTTACAACTGTCTCCTTGGGAATCGAACCCAGGGACTTCGGTTACATGTGCTGACGCTAAACCTTCATGGATTGGTTGATGTTAGACACTACCACCATTGGATGCCGGCTCATTGGTCCAGTTGGTTAAGTGTTCGCGCGCGAGACCGAAGGCCCTGGATTAGAATCCTGCGAGCGGGATCGTGAACGCGCACTGCTAAAGAGTCCCACAATAGGACGAAACGGCCGTCCAGTGCTTCCAGGTTTCCAAAGGTGGTGGTCTAACATTAATCGGTTCATGATCTCAATCAATAACTCTGAACTGTTTTTACATTCGAAAAACATCGTTTCTTGTTTAACAATTAGTTTTTTTCGAATACCAATGTGTCGCAGTAATTCAAGACAGTCAAACTTATTAGCAACTGAAGAAAAAGTAAAGAAACAAAATGAGTACTGTAATTAATGCAGTTTTTGTTTTATCTAAATTTGAAAAGGGAACCGAATGTATGAAAATAACGCTAGTGATACACACACATGATTCACATCATAACAAACAGTAGAAATAAAGACATTTATAAAGGATGGAGTACTGTCTTTGGGCTGGAAAACGTTAGTTCATATTTCTATATTTAATAAACAGTTTAGTTGAACAGGTCGTGTGGAGCTTAGTTTAATCTGTATTCGTCAAAGACCGATTTTATTTGGGCTATCATTAAAAAGCAAGGGACATTAATACAACAACTGAGATCGTTTTGTATTGAATATTAACTAACAAATTCAAGAAATAAGTCAAGTTATAAGATCATAGTCAGGAGTTTATTAATCATAAGTACAAAACATTTTCAAAATTCCAATCCAGCTGGAATAATAATAGTAATTATCTATATGAGAGAATACAAATAAACAACATAGAAGATATTAAATATATTATAAAAGTTACAGTCAAACATCAATTTTGTAAACTGTGTATAGACACAATAGGCAAACAAATATACACCATAAAGCTATTATAATAAAACACATGCTTAAAAAAAAAAGTAAAACATGCTTAAGCAAAGGTCACATTTATCTTGGCAATGAACATTAATATGAGGCAAATTAAAGGAGTAAAAACCATAACCAAACAGTGATAGTTAATACACTCACTAGCATTCCTAATGAACAGCATAGTTGTACAAGAATTTATTGGAATTTACAAAGATTACATACTTGTGTGTATTTAATAACTATTTCAATAGATATAAATGCAACACAAACAATAATGAAAGTGAAAATAAAATCATGAGTACTTAATTTTATTTAATTAATTAATAATAATTCAATTTTATAATTAATGTTTGAGATGGTGGAGAAGATTTGTAGCTCAGGTGGATGATTTTGATGGAGTTTTGTTCTCTGAGCTGGATGGTTTAGTCGTGGAGCTTTCATCGTTCTTCTGAACGACATCATCAGCACAAACTTCAGATAGTTTGTGCTGATGTCGTTCAGAAGAACGATGAAAGCTCCACGACTAAACCATCCAGCTCAGAGAACAAAACTCCATCAAAATAATTAATGTTTACTTAGTGTACACTAGAAATGCTCTGGTAAACCGAGAGCGGAGAGAATCAGCTCTCTCTCTCTCGAAATGCTTTCAAATGGCCACGTGCATACAACCACTGACAGGGAAGTTCTACTCACTGAATTCACGCCGCACTACTGTTGTTTACGAAATTCGGAGGACGAAAAGCGAACGTCCGGTGCGTTAACCGGGTTGGTGGATATGGAGGATTCATCTAGGGAAGTTAGAAAACCCTGACTTCGAACCAATAGTGCACATGGGCTCCAGGATCCTAAAGGAACAAATTGCATATGAACCAAATGTTGGTCACCGGCTACCATAGGATTGCATCTCCTCACGATGCTCCACTGCCTTGTGGATTAGACCTTTAGGTCAAAGGCTTTGGCTGTGTCCCCCTAAGATAACCACCTGCTTTGGTCTGGGCACCCGGGCAGTATCACACCCCTCACACAAATCGAATGATTTATGTGGCGCATATCTGTTTGGTGCCTCCTTGTACCAATGTTTATGTGTTTAAATAAATAATAATAAATTTGTGAACACTATAAATCATTATGTTTCATCGAGAAAGAAAAGAATGGCATAAGTGATAAATGCAGTCTCCTCAACACGTTAACAAGTTCAATAGATCAAAGAGTTTAAAAGTTACCACATAGTTCACATCAATTTATACAATTGAATATAATAACTCTTAATATGTTATTAAGTTATAGATTGTATGATGAAAGGATATTTTAGTAAAAGTATACTATACTGATGACTTTGGATGACTGAATTATTAGCCAATCAGAAAACAATGCCTAATTTAGTTATAAAACAATGAAAAGTAATAACATTACAGTGGAATAATACTTTTGATATGATTGATTAACGCTTACACGTTTAATTATTCATTATAGCAAAAGAAAATAGTTAAGTTCACATATTAGTAGTTAGGCTAGTGTTATATATTTAGGTTGTAATACTATAGGGTTTTCGTCACTAGCTGACTTCAACCATAATGCAGTAAAGCTTCGCTAGCTTTTTGTTTATACACTTAAGAAAGTTAAAGGTGAGATTATAAGTGAGCAGTTAGAATAGGAGAGTATTATCTAACTACACAAATAACTGTAATAATACGTTAAACCATAATGAATAATCGAACAAACAGTATACATCAGGACCAGACATTTCTCGTAATTTAGCACACACACCACGTGTTAAGTTTGTTTTACATTGTTCTTACTCGCTACTCTTCTACTCTTTTATGTAGTGTTTCATACTACATATTTACATTAAGTAAGTAGTTGTACACCCAATAATTTTTAGACTTATGTTGTAACGTCAGTTCGTCGTGTAATATTCCGAAATATTTACATATACGTTTCTTGTATCTATCATTATAATCACTGTAACAGTTATCTACAGTTTTGTGTATTTGTTTAAACGCAAAAGTTTCCATATTGTTTTGCTTTTGGTCCGGGTTTCGATTGCTGATAAACTGTTACCAAGTTTAGACACATCCACCATCTGTCTTTTGTACTGTCCTATATTGTAACTATTCTTTATGTTACCGTTACATAAAGTCATTTTTTCCATACAAAAGAACGCGTTAAACGCCATAGATACCTCACAAGTTGAGGTTTGTAACTAATTTTTGTGTATTATTCAATAAAGAACCGCTATTCTAGACAAATCGTTGTTTTGAGAACTTCAATTTTGTGCATATCTCAATTAGGTGGCCTGGATGCTTCGATAGATCTAACACCATGTCATATCCAATGTTTGATTGAATACTGGATTCTTTTTGCTTAGTTTCAAGCATATGAAAAATCAAATAATATCAAGTTTCACGTAGTTCATAATAAACATATAAGCTAGATTTTATTGCACTTTCCATTTCGCGCAAAAATTTATGAGGTGCTATCTTACATTTGATTAGCTCACTCAAGGCCGTTAATACGGTATACTTTTACCTATATTTTTACTATATACAGCTGCTTTATAATAACTAATTGTACAGGGTTCTTACATGTATTATATATGTGAGTATAGGTTAAATAAATTGAAATTTTAAAGGTTTTATTGTTCAATTTCATACAGATTAAAGGACATAAAACTCCTGGTTTAAAATCCTTATATACCAATGAAAACAGTTTAAATTTACTTAAATTTCAAATAACATTTTTATTTATTTGTTTATTTATTTAAACACATAAACATTGGAACAAGGAGGCACCAAACAGATATGCGCCACATAAATCATTCGATTTGTGTGAGGGGTGTGATACTACCTGGGTGCCCAGACCGAAGCAGGTGGTTATCTTAGGGGGACACACCCAGAGCCTTTGACCTAAAGGTCTAACCCACAAATCAGTGGAGCATCGTAGGGAGATGCAGTCCCATGGTAGCCGGTCACCAACGATTGGTTCATACGCCATTTGTTCCCACAGGATACTGGAGCCCATGTGCAACATTGGTTTGGAATCCGGTTAAAGCGCCGGACATTCGCTTTTCGTCCTCTCATTTTCGTAAACAACACCCCAGCCACGGGAAGGCAGTGAGTAGGACTTCCCTGACAGAGGCTGTATACGCGTGACCGTGTGAGAGCATTTCGAGAGGGAGGTCGGTCCCACCCCACTCTCGGCCATACCATGGCATTTGGGGGCTCCAATAACATTGGCTACTAGTAGTGAAATTTATGAGAAAAAAAATAGTTAATTATAAGTGTTCAGCTTTTATTATAAGAGACTGACTTAGAAACTTTCTATTTCCCCCATTAACATTGTTTTGTTAAGCAAACTACTTAAATGAGGTCCATGTAATTATCGTAACCAAGAGTTAGAGATTTTGAATGAAATGGCTCAAAATTATTCATTATTTGTCTTTCTCATAGATCTTAAATTTTTAAATTCTTTGTATGTTTATCATTCCACTAATTTATATTCTCTCTTATCGCATGTTAGATTACTATTTTTTTCTATTACTAACACTTACTAATTCTACCATTTCTGGAATTTGTACCGACATTTTCATTACACTGTGCTTTTGAAGTACCCCAATTTGCGTCGATGTACATATGTCCCAGGTTATACGTTGCGTATGACTGACTGATGGACTATTTTACACTGAATTTCTAAACTTTATCATCCGACTTCAACAATACATTGAAGTACATTTACAGAGTCTATGTCTATGTAATTCATGAATCCATTTGTTAAGTAGTCAACAAGATGGTATTTTCCAAGTTAATTTTTTTAGAAAAAAAAACAACCATGAACTGAAAAGTGGAACTAAAGTGACTGACAAATAACCTAAGCTAGAGATGAAACGCAAATATAATGCCAATCAATTTCACCTACTTAATGCATTGGACAATATGATGTAGGATAACTGTCATAAATGAGTGTTTATTTGTAATTGTGATTCAATTATCAGATACTTATACACCATGGACTAAAACGATGCTTTTGATTATTATAGTTACTATATTGATTTCTGCTGTGATCTTGCCTACGCTAACAATGAGAATTTTATAAAACCAGTCAACTTGCAGGGTAATGTTCGATTCCCAACTCGAAATCTTCACTTGCCTCAAAATTATCAATCAGAACACTAGAACAGCCATCTCAGTACTGTGTAGAACTCGTTTCTATAAAAATACATGACGATGATGTACTATAAATAATTAACTGCGATGTGTACGTACCAAAGACATTTTTGGTAATAAGTGAACGGAGATAGTAGACAGGATACCTTGGACCTAGGTTTCTTGTTAGTCGGCAGTCGTCAGAAAATGGTACCTCAAAACTTCAGAGAACTGATTATTCATATAGGATTCAAACTTGTGCAATCCGGCTTGATAGCCCGACACACTAACAGCGAGCTATTCGGGCAGCGACTAACCTCCTTGAACAAGCTTGAAGGTTCGTCTTATTGACGAGGACCAACTAGCGTGGAACCTAGTTCCAGGGTGTTGTTGTCAACTACTTCTGATCATCTAACATCAAAACATAATGCACATGATGTCCAGTCACGTAGATTATCGTCCCCATTGCAAATTGATTGATGAAATTCGGTCAGTAATAAAAAACTGGACAAACACAATATTGGTCACTGTTCGGTGAAAAATCAATTTACATTTATGGTATAAATCTGCGTATTATGTTTACAATTAATTAACAATAATGTACTACCTGCCAAAGATTTGGTAATAGTTAACGAATAAAACGAAAATTTACAACTGGAAGATCTAAAAACACTATAAGCCCAATGCTTACTAAACAAACAAAAAAATACATAGACTAATTCACGAGATAAGAACTTTCATATTTTCATTGATCTGTCCAGCAGTAATAACCTCACAATTTGATAGTTGGACTTTACACACAATTATTCATATAGCTGTATTAAAAACTATTTAGAAACAAACTTACTTTGCACTCGTTGAAGATGTCCTTCGTCGGTGCAGATTTGAACTATTCCAAAATAATACACTTGGTCTACGTTCGGTAACATCAATATTTGCTAATGAGCCAATAAATTTATCAGCTCCTTCTGATGCGTCCAAATTGGCTTCTGCAGCACTGCCATCAGTTGCAATTTTTGTCCAGTCTGGTAGTACAATGTCTGTAGTATTCCAGTATGCATCACGTACAAGATCAGGATGCTCATGATGCATTCCATCGACAATTAGATAAGAAACCTACTCAAAAGATTTCCGAAAAAGCGCTGTATCCAGTCAATCGAAGCTGTGATTAGCCAGCGAGAAAAAACACACATAATATTGTGTTATATATAACTGACTTATATTTTAATGTGAAGAATTTGATTCTATAGTCAGCTGTACACAAAGTAGAATCTAGTAAATATATTCTTTCGTTTAGGTTAATACACCACATCGAAACAGAGGAATTCCAGTGTAGTATAAGTAGTAATATTAGTGGTAGTAGAAAAAAACTAGATATAAAAGATATGATTCAAGGAAATACGGATCAGTGGACTTAGAAAATCATGAGAATGATCAAGAGAATTACCATGAAACATGTCACTCAACGTGACAAATCACAAAATAAACAAACGGTTTTGTGTGTGCAAAATTATCATAGTTGAGCCACCACCTAAGAGTTAATTCAATATTTCATATATCAATTTTACTGACAATACTATCCATACTTTTCACAAAAAAATCAAGTATTCGATTTTAAGTTACATATTTCTTTTTTGTATAATGAGTACGAACTAGTGGCAAATCAGTTGAAAATCAAGTATTCACAGTAATAAGCTAATAGTATAGAGCTATTGAATTTGGATGAGATTTTCTTAGTATGTTGTATTTATACAAATCACAATCAGTCAGTCAGCTACAACGTAGGACTACGCACATATGTACAACGATCCAAGTTGCCACACCTCATTAGCACAACAATATGAACACCGAATTCATAGTAGTTAATTCAGTGGTGGTAATATATAAAAGAAAGATTGCATATAAGGATATAATAATACAGGAAGAAAGAATTAGTTCGTAGAAAGAAAGATATGAAGCAATTTTAATCTCATAGTTTGAGGGAAGACAAAGACTGTATACACCTATGCCATTGTGATCGATTCTGAGCCATGTCATACAGAGTCTCCAACCATTGGTTACGATAATCACGCGCACCCCCAACCGAGTAGTCTGCATCTACCAGAATAACTCAGACCAGAAGTTAGTGACTTCAAGCACTGATGCCACGTTTTGGTTTGGCCACCCCTAATTATACAAATTACATAGACTACATATCAAGTTTATTAAACCAACTTATCTAGAACAGAATTATCGAATGCAAATTTTTATTCGAATAGGTATCAAGTATGCACCATAAACAAGGCTACACATCAAACTATATTAAAATAGTTCAATGAATTCATCGAGTATCACGATTTAAAATTGGTTGATGTACAATTTTTAAATACTGTCATACAGACAGTCAATGTTGTTATCAATGAATGAACGAAAAAAATATAATCTGCACTTTTAAAGAGAGCAAGAACAAAGATTGGTGCAGAATAATAAATGGATTCACTTTTTCATTTCGTTAGGTTCTCATCAGTTGTTTATAACCTAAAATATTTGAAAATCAACGTTATTACAGATATTGACAAACTTATAATTACGAAGGTGATTAGAGATGATTATTTGTATCAACAGTTAATAAGGTTATAAGGATTTGTTTCGGATAAACAAAGTTTGGGAGGGAAAGTTCTAGAACATTGAAACAGTGTATAGAACTCATGGAGTTAACGAACATCAAATGACTGTGTAATTAAGAAACTGAATTGAAATCAGTCATTTATGAATTAAAGAAAAATGACAATGATGCAATTAAACTTCAGAAAGAGTTGAAATAATGGATGACATAAGGGGGTTTAATGTTACCAGGGTAAAGAAAAACTTATAGCTTTCTCTTTTTCTATACATAGATCTGGTTTAAGACGTTTGATTGTTATGACTTCGGCAAATTTCAAAAGGTTGGAGTTTTATTGTTTGGTAATCACTTTGAAAGACTGCAGTGTATCGACTTCATATCCTGTGTCAACCAGATATATCTTGCGATGGCACTGCTGACCTTGTTAACTCTATTGAAATGTTTGTTACATCATGATACATCTTTAATCAACCTTTGACTTATGTATAAGTATGTCAACATCTGTAATGACGTTGATTTTCAAATATTTTGGGTTGTAAGCAGCTGATGAAAACCTAACGAAATAAAATGAATCCATTTATTATTCTGCACCAATCTTTGTTCTTGCTCTAAGATAATAAAGGGAACTATGTGTATGAAATTTGCACTTTGTTGCCAACTTGTATCATAGTTAATCAAGAGAATATTGTGAAAACACTTCTTAAGTATTGTTTGTGGTGATCATATTTTGTTTACTTTTATCAGTATCAATCAGGTTTGAAAACTTGATTTTTGTTGAGATCTTCTCTATACACATGTAGAATCCTTTTATTCGATACGATCTATTCTTTTAATTAACTTATCTAATAATTGCTCTTTTTAGAGAGAAAATAAATTGACTTTAATGTCGTCTATAAATATCTCTTTGGAAATTGACAGTGCCAACAAATGATCTATAATCAGTCGAGAAAAAAAAACTAATCAATGATGAACCACATGATAAATTGAATCATTCTATGTTGAAGAAATACACCACGTAATCATAGTTATTTAAAGTTATGTTTTCGTTTCTACCACGTTTTATCTAAGTGAGTTGTAGAGGTAATTGTTTCAACTTGAATACTAGTAATTCATTCGTCGTAAGAAATAAACTGTGTTGTTTTCTCGAACTAATGGGGAAACTGTCGAGGTGTGTTAAATATTCAGGACGAAACCACTCACGAATGGCTTCATTTACATTTTTTAAATTTGAACTTGTATTGTTTTGGGCCATCCATCTTTCGTTTTTACCAAGATTAAAGCAGTTATTTTCTTAATGAATCGTAGCTCTTTTGGTATATTATCTCTTCATCTATTTTCAAGGCCATCGTACATCAATTATGCGTGTGTGCTGCTCCCAATTATTTGTTGATATAAGAGCAGTAGTTTGACGGTTAAGATATCCAGTGTCCTACCACTAAGTTGTAGGTATGGATCTCACTCCATCTAATCCAGTTTGGTCAACCGGATAAAATCTCTAGCTCGCACACCAGAAGTGTGGCTCGAAGATAAGTACACAAATCAGTACCTGGTAAATGAATTAATAAAATAAGATAAAGGAAAAAAGTAGTCAATCTATGAGTTAAATTATCCATAAGCAGTTCATCAGGTCATCCCTGATTTTCGGTTTTAGAGTCCCACATAGGTATTATGATGCATAAACATAAGTATAATAAGCATGGTAGTGCTACTCAGATACTATGTCATCATTCTGAAGTTTACATTTTAAATTTCAAAGATTCACAACATAGCACAATCTTTATCTAATGCTCTTAGTGCGTAACTGCTCTAATCGTAACATAGCTCACAACATCTACCATGTATTTCCATGAGAATTCTTAACAAATCCAATTTAATTAAGTTAGTAATTAGTAGCATCAACAAAAATGTGTGCTATTCTATTTCGAACTCGTCAACCAGATGTACCAGCATCTCATTATTAATATTTACTATGAAATTTGTAGTCCCTATACACTTACGCCTGTTATTCCACGTGAGGGAGTATGGGCCGCTTACCAGCATCCTCTATCCAACTGTCTAGAACAATACTTTCCAGTGTTTTTTTCAGGTCCAATTCATTCCTTTGACGTCCGTCTCCGATTCCCCACACATTTGTTCCTTACTCTTCCTCTTCTCCGTTTCCCTTCAGGATTCCAAGTTAGAACTTACTTCAAGATACAGCTTGATGAGCTCCGCAATATTCATCTTATCCACCTCCAACATCTTTTTTTCAATTTCTTCGGATGGAGGCTTGTCTGTTCTCTGCAGCCGTAGCTTGTTGTTAATGACATCCGGTTGACGGATATCGAATATCTTATGTAGACATATGTTCACAAATACCTGCATCTAAACTGTTCATTGTAATTCGTGCTTCTATTTCTGACTTCAGTGCTTCAACTGGTGTGTTATCTAGTCTTGATGCTTCCCCACTCTTGGATTGTCTAATGGCCATCCTGATTTGTTCGATCGTTGGTGGAGTGATATTCAAAGTATTCTTCACATTTGTTCCTCTGTTCATGAATCCCAGTCATTGGTTCGCCTTCTATGTTCGTGACTAATCGCTATAGTTTACTATATTTCCCAACCAGTTTATTCGTTGTACCATGTATTTGTCTTACATTTCCTTCATTTGCATCTTTTTCCGCCACCATTGCTAAGTCTTACACGTGTTTCTACTTGTCGAATCTACAGTTCTTCTTCACCCTCTTGTTTTTTCTGTGTATTCGGTCTGTGCCTTGGCCTTTTCTGATAGTGTTCGACTGTTCATAATTGCTGTCTTCTTCTTCCTTTCTTGAAACTTGTCCAGGATTTCGATAGAGATCCATTTTTTATGATGATGCTTGTTGAGGTCCAGAACCTCCTGGCATGTTGAAGTCAATACTTGTTTGATCTCTTTTCATTTGTTGTCTATGGTAGTTTCTTGTTATTTGAGTAGATCTTTCAAGGCTTGGAACCTGGTTTTGAGAACTATTTTAAATTCGTTGAGTTTGTGAATATGTTGAAGAAAGCCCATATTCAACTTTTGCAATAACATCCCCCATTGTTCATTACTTTAAAAGTTAGTGTACTATCAAAAAAACTACTGTATCACAAGGTTTACTAAACTTGTTGAAAGAGTTATAAAATTTATTATCATTATTATTAATGCTTTCTTATTTGTTAATCATTTGGAAGACTGTATTGTAGAAAACCACTTTGAAGTCTAATGATATAAATTTTCTAACATTTTGTAACTTTATAGAAACCATTTTTTGTAGAGAGAAAAAGAAAATAAACAATTATGATTATCTGAATATTCTTATTCAAGTGAAGTCATTTATGGGACAGATTTATTCAATATGTGATAATAAATTTCATCATTTATGCATTATGCTTATTCTATGCAATATACATTCTATTTTATAAAGACAACATACAAATAAATGTCCATCTATGTCTTTTTCTTTAAGATGAAAGAATAATGCAATGCCAATTTATCTTAGATTACTAAAAAATGCATATATGTATATATGATTGTAAGAAAATGAAGAATAGTCAAGTTTAGGTCATTAGTTAATCTGATATACATGAAGTACAATATTATGCATCACTCTGCATTAATATTCAGCGGATTACATGATTTTACAATAATCTATTGAGAAAATGGTATATGTGTGTGCGTGTTTGTTTTTTAGATTACTGATAAAAACTAGTTTATAGCTTCTTCTGTCTTACCCCATATATATATATATATATATGTATTTAGAATTTATTAATCATGGCATACATATAATCATACTGTAACATGGATAGTTTACTTAAATAAAGAAATTCTACTTAGTTCAAATAAGTGTGAAACAAGGTATAGTAAAATTATTGAAATAATCAGTTAGTCAGTAACAACGTAGAACTTCGTACGTACGTACATCAGTTCGAGTAGCAACACCATATTAGCACACAGATATAATTGTCGATTCAAATACCATAATGGTAGAAGTATTTATTTATTTGAACACATAAATATTGGTACAAGAATGCGCCAAATATATATGCGCCACACAAAACAATGAGAATTTAACGGGAAGTAGAAAAAAGGAGAGAATAATAACGAAGATATTGGTGTAAGGTGGTGTAATAATAATGGTAAAAATGGGGGAACGGAAAGATACAATCAGAAGAAATCTTTCAATTAAGGAAGACACAACCACTTTTTTTATGAAGAAAGTAAAAGGAGGTTACAGCAGGATCGCCACTAGCTTCTATTCTGAGCCATATCTGATAGCACCCAAATGCTTTGGTATGGCCGAGAGTGGGGTGGGTTCACCCGCCCTCTAGAAATACTCTCACACGGTCATGCGTATACAGCCTCTGTCAGGGAAGTCCTACTCAGTGCATTCTCGTGGCGGGGGTGTTGTTTACGAAAATGAGAGGACGAAAAGCGAATGTCCGGCACTTTAACCGGATTCCAAACCAATGGTGCACATGGGCTCCAGTATCCTACGGGAACAAATGGCGTATGAACCAATCGTTGGTCACCGGCTACCATGGGACTGCATCTCCTTACGATGCTCCACTGCCTTGTGGGTTAGACCTTTAGGTCAAAGGTTCGGGGTGTAGCCCTCTAAGACAACCACCTGCTTCGATCTGGGTACTCGGGCAGTATCACAGCCCACACGCAAATGATGAACCCTCTATATCTATGGAAACTATTTTTCTCGCTTCGAATAACAATCAAATGATTCAAATTACTATCATTACTATTATTATTATTATTATTATTATTATTATTATTATTTACTACGACATTATTCACCCTCTTTTATTCCTATTCTGTCTATACTTATTTTTTCGACTTATACAGCAGCTCGTCTTTGGTGGAAATTCGACTCTATCTAAACGTAGAGGTAGTAAAAGTATAAGTAGTAATTACAAACATTAGGGTCTGAAGATGTTATTCAAGGAGTATAATACAGTGAAATAAATTTGGAAAGAGAAAAAGAAAAGCGACATGAAGAATTCAGAAGATTAGGATTTGGGAGAACACAGAGGTGATACACATGCGCCATCGCAGACGATTTGGAGCCATGTTATTCAAGGTCTCTAACCATCGGTTGCGATCATCTCGCTGATCCCAACCAGGTAGTCTACACCTACCAACATGGCTCAGTTCAATTGTCCGTGACTTCATGAATTTGTGCCATGTTTTGGTCTGGCCACTCCTAGCTTTCTTCCAACCTAATCCTATACCACTGAACATCGCAAGTCGTATTGAAATAATACTTAATATTAGTAAACAATTAAACATAGAAAATACAGATAACAATACCAAGATTCGGACTTGATAGTTCCAAGTAAACCTAGCATTGAATAGAAAAGCCAATTATTATAAAATAATTCTTTGTTATATCCCAATGAGTAGAAATTTATATTACTGACGTTGCGTGATTTAATGTGAAGTCACTTCTTCCAAGTAAATAAATAAATAACCGAAATAAATTTATGCAATTTCAAATAGTATCAAGGTTTTAGATCCACGCAAAATTGTATTCACAGACTAGGTTGAATCGGTAGTGATGTATTCCACGTTGAAGAGGCTTCTCGTGAAAACGAACACTCAAGCTACACAAAAAGACCTAATATTCCTGTAGAGTTCAAAAATTTAAAATTTAAATCACTAATAGCAGCACATATTCTATTCAGTAACCACCAAGTCAATATTAAAAATATCAAAATAATTCAGATAGGTTTTTTCAACTATAAAGAGAGGAGAAAAGTCGGAGCGTTTCATATAATGCAAAATCCCTTTACCCTCGTTAGGACAGGACTGACTGTTCATCCAGCTTGGACTATTTATCCAGGACAAAGACCTGCTCGCACCTCTTCTTGGTGCCCTGATGTTCGTTAACCATGTCCATGAGCTAACACGGGAGGCCAGGTAGAGATCGCGTTAACCACCTACTTTACATAAACCAGTGAAGATCGGGTTAATCATCCACTCTGTCTTAGTATCTGATGAATGAAGTGTGTTGTATGGATAAGAGTGAAAGGCAGAACTGAAAAATTTGATTTTTGGTGCCTGGGTGGATTCACTCTGGAAAGCCCCATCAAGTCTTGCAGGGGCGGGTCACAGCGTATGAACAGAAACTGTGCCGTAACCAGTGCAAAAAGGTCGACACTAAGCTTTCTTATGTTATGGGCGTGAAGAGATCAAACCATCAAATAACGATTTACAAACCGATTGATTTAACTACATGTTATTCATTCAGTGTTTCGTAACCACTGGGAAACAGTCTGGGGTCGATCGCATCTAAGCTTATGTGTATACTATGAAGTGTATAGGCTTCCATCTATGCCTTCTACATATACATGTAATGCATACTTGCGGCAGTATAACATCCCACACTGGTGTATTTATTATAGCTCTAAACGCTTTTGATTTGCTACAAGGTTTCTAAATGTGATAGGAAAGTGCAGATTGTTAATGTGTTCATCTGCACGATATAAATCGAATTCCCTACTCATACAAGAAATGTAACTAAGTAAATTTCTGATATGTCCATTTACTTTGCTTTCTGCAGTGCTCCAGTCACGCACTCTGCAAAAGCTCTATTCTTTTCCCAAGAAGCCTCATGGCTTCTCCTGCTTAGTTTGGTGGGACAAAATAAAAAAATTGAATTGTTTATCCATAAAACCACATTTGACACACACAATCTACACAAACACACGCTCAAACTGTAACTTTACTTTATACTTTAAATTACACATTTTTTCATACCCACCATCATACACATAAATAAGCACAATGATGTCTCGTACAGAATCGCCTTGACCAAAAATAACACATTGACATGTTCAGACCTATTATGGTTTTGATTGAACAAGAAATATTCTGCTTCATTTCCATTATACTATTTAAACTTCTGTTAATTTGTTTCCGTTATTTATTTATACTGAAAAAGTGACTTATATTAAGTCACGAAACGTCAGAAATACAAACTGCTACTCATTCGGATATCATGAAAATATTGTTCTTTTAATATAGAATAAATAAATCAGAAAAACCCTACGACTATGAGGACAGTCCTCTTTCCCTTTCAATATATTCTCATAAAGCCGAATGCTTGTATCTTCTATAGAGAAATCTTACTACCTTCAAACAGTGAAAGCTTAAACAAAAGTCAGAAAGAGACCAGATTATATAAGCTGATATTTGATTCCTACGCAGTGATCACAATAGGATTTAGTCTGATACGCTTAAGTGTTACAATACTTCAATCTCCTTATGCAGCATATCACCCAGAAAAAATAAAGCTTCCGCGAACATATTATTGTCCATTCACTGGAACTGTCTATATTTGATGTCATCAGTGGTATTTGGCAATGAATCTGGTTTCTTCACACTATGGCAATCGCTAAAGATCATCTTGAATAATAACCAACTGATGCCTATATATATATATCCCCGATGGGGCTACTGCCGGTCCCAAGCCCGGATAAAGGAGAGGAGGGTCGGGCATGAGGTTAGCGACCCCATCCTGTAGAAAACCAAATCGCTAAAAACGCTAACCAGAAAAGAAAATTCAAATCATTCAAACTCTACCCTGGGAGTTAGAAGGTCTTCATTTAGAAGAGCTATGACGCCTAATGGTAAAAGCCTAGTTCCTTCGGAAGTCACGAGACTGATGCCCCTTCTGACAACCAGAGAAACCATTAATTTAGGTACACGGAATGCTCGTAGAATGTGGGAGATCAAGAGAGTCTTCCAAATTGCTGTAGAATATATATATATATGTGAAAATGAATTATAACTAAACATACAAAATAACTCACTTGTAAATTTCTTTCAATTAAATATTCAATTTCAAAATCATCAACATCTTCACCAAATGGATTAATTAATGACTCTGCAACCTATTAGTAAAAATACAAATTACAAGTCGAATTAAGTTATAAAATAAACAAGTTGGATACAAATAAACTGTAGAGTTGAGAATATCAGAATCAAGAAAGAGATTGGTGTTTTTTTTAAAAACTTAGAAAACAAAAACTCTAAAATAAGAAACCTTGAAAAGATACCACCCTATAAACAGAGTACTTAAAACTTTGATTATTGATAGAAGAAATTCAATTCTAACATTATAAAGTATAAATGACAGTGTAAAACACTGTAACTATGTTTATTGGGTGGTAATAACTAAGGATCATTGTTGTTGTTTTTTTAACTCTTTGTTCATAGTGAAGCCTAAAAATCGAATCACTTGATTAATAAATTTCAATGAGTAACATCTAAATTAGTATTGTAAAAATGTTAAAAATAAATCACTCTATTTGATCAACTTTTCGACAAATTAGTTATGATTGAAAATATTCCATAGAAGTATTTATCACTATTAACAATAATCCAGAAAGAAACCAATTCATATTCCAATAGTTAAAATCATGAGTCAACTATTGAAATTACTAAAATCTCCACAAAACCCCTTCCGATTCACATTCATTAGGACGAAATTCTACAGTAATATTTCTACTATTATTAATTATTTATTTATTTTAACACGCAGATATTGGTACAAGAAGGCACCAAATGCATATGCGCCACACAGATCTCATTTGATATGTGTGAGGGCTGTGATACTACTTGGGTGTTTAAACCGAAGCAGGTGGTTTTCTTAGGGGACCACACCCGGAGCCTTCAACCTGAAGGTCTGATCCACAAAACAGTGGAGCATCGGAAGGAGATGAAGTCCCATGGTAGCCGGTGACCAACTATTGGTTCGTACTCCATTTGTTTCTTCAGCATACTGGAGCCCATGTGCACCATTGGTTTGTAATCAGGGCATTCCAACTCCCCTAGGTGGACTCCCTATGTCCACCGACCCGGTTAAAGCGCCGGACATTCGCTTTTCGTCCTCTCAATTTCGTGAACAACACCCCCCCCCACGAGAAGGCAGTGAGTAGGACTTCCCTGTCAGAGGCTATATACGCGTGGCCATGTGAGAGCATTTGGAGAGGGAGAGAGGACTCTCCCCACTCTCGGCCGTACCAGGGCATTTGGAGGCACTATTATTAAAGTTGAATATTTATATTATGGATTTAAGAAACTAATAAGATTCATTAAAGTAATGTAATCTTAAAAGTCTTATTATTTCGATTGGTTAATTACGCTTAATCTATAAAGGACGTCTGAATTGTGTAACACAAATCTAATGCATAACACGGTCAAATATGAGAAAGTTTTATTCAAAACAAAATAAATAAATAAATGTACGTAGAAGCAGTTGGATATATTAATATACAGGTATTGAAGAATATCAACTAAACATTCATTAATTCTTACTGCTTGTTCACCACAACTTTTAAGAGCCAAAATAACATCAATGTATATGATAGTGAGTTGTTAAGACGTCTAATATATACACACCAAAACTCCAACCATATATATAAAGTTATAGATATTACATATAATAATAATAATAATAATAATAATAATAATAATAGTGGTGAATGTTTCAGAACGAAGATTGAAGGACCGATAACTCCAGAAACTGTTTGGTGGATCAATCTCAGTCCTAAACATCACTGGAAAGATTCAAACAAGCAATATAAAATGAATTAAAACTTTAACCCACTGTACAAGCTAGTAACTATCTGAATAACGAGATGGCGTTAGAAGTGAACGGTAGTGGGTTCGAGTCTCGGAGTGAATATCAACTTTGTGATGCAGGTAAATCCAACTGACAAATCCAAAACAAAACGAAACGAGCGTCCTAAATTCCACTGCTAGTCACCATCCATCTCTGCCCATAATTTATGGATTCTTATTGACATATTAATAAGTAACTAAATTACTATGTTTATAAATTCGTTATCGTTGGCTTTTCTTCAACTCACTAAGCATTACGATGCAGCTTATTATTTCCAGTTTGCTGCCAATTAATTACTTACAGATTGCACTATTTATGGACCTTTTTAGCCTACTTATGTATAAGCGTGATTTTTTTATTTTATGGTATGATGTATTTCTGTACATAAACCCACATGTGGTTGAAATATAATGTAACAGAAGCTGACTGCTGACTCGCCGTTGAATTCAATGCAAGGGATAGAGAAAAGCTTGGGTGTACCGAGCCAGTAAGAGCTTAGCTTGCAAAAGGCCCAAGGTTAACTGTGAACGTCAAGTTTAGTATACTAGGGTATGGAAGAAATAGTCGACATGGAACAGGAAACAGTTTTAATCAGAAATCTGGTTAGTGACGTTTGAACGTGGTATCAATCAACGTCTAAAGACATAACACATGGAACTAACCTTCAGCCATCCAATATAGAAGAAGAAACGTAGTAAACCGAAAATTGGCACATAAATATCAACATCATGACCTTCGTATCCTTTCGATGGGTCTAAATACTGCCATGCAAGTAAACATGTACCAAAATATCCATATACAGCAATTGTTACAGTCTGAAAATTGAGGGAGAGGATGATAGGAAATTAGTAACAATATAATGACAGCACCAAAACGAAGAGATTACAATGAAAATTTTTACGATAGTAACGAGTATTTGTGTACATACATAATTAGAAATGAAAGTAACAATATAAACAAGTATACACGTAATATTACAACTACATAGTTAGATATGGTTAAGTCATCTGAAAAGTGTCATTACATTGTCTAGGCTGTAATACTACGATACATATAAAAGAACGTTACTGATGTTAATTAGACCTCTATCAGGCATTACTTGAATGATGCAGTAAAACATATATGTTTAAATATGTAATCTATTTCATTGTTACCATTGTCTCACAAACTAGCATGATTGGTTTAGTATTTCCTTATATATATGCACATAAATATATTACTGCATATTAGAGAAAAAAAAACAGATGAAGATCTCGTTGAAAACAGTATTGTTCACTGATATGTGTTGTTCTTATTTCCACATTAGGAATTTTGAATAGTTTAAGCTGTAGATGTTGGTAGATAAATACGAACTATAAGATTTCCAGTTGTGAATATTCAATATCAAGGCAACAAAAGGAAAAACAAGTTTGTTGATCGTCGTAAAAGGAAATCATAAATGGGTACTTCTGAAAAGTAATGACTTTTAACCACATCATTATCTACGTTTGAATTTTTTTTTTTAAATGTATGCCAATTTGATCAGTCAAGCAATATATTATTAGACTTCAGATATGAAAGTGTTTGATTTAAGAAGTAGATGAAGTCTTATTCGATTACCAAATTTTGAAATTATTTTCCTTTTATCAACTATACATTCAATCAATTTGTACTTATTCAGATGATTTAATTACGCATTTCCAAACATGTACAATCTTTATATATGTATGACTGTTTCTATATTTGTTCATCATATCTTATTAAACGTTTGAATTATAGAAAAATTATTCACTAATTTACCCAATGATTATTAGCTACATTCATTCTAATAAACAATGTTCATCATATAAAGTAATTCATTCATATCCTATAGACACTGTATTTTATAAGTTTAGTTTGTTGAGTCAAAATCTGTGTTCAGTAAAGACAGGTCTCTACCTCAGTACAACGGAAGATGGTCGCGCAATTTCGTGGATTGGTTGAAGTTAGACATTAACACCGTTGGATGCTGACTGACTCAGTGATCTATATGTTAAGCGTTTGCGCGCGAGACTGAAGGCTCTGGGCTCGAACCCCGTGGGCGGAATCGTGGATGCGCACTGTTGAGGAGTCCTACTTAAGCACAAAACGGTCATGCAGTGCTTCCAGGTTTTCAATGATGATCTAACATCAATCAGTTCATGATTTCAATCAAACTATTTGAAACATACTTTTCTTAAAATATTTCGTACTAAACTTTTAATATTATACTGTCAGTGCTTGCAGTCACTAACTTCTAATCTGAGCCATGTTAGTAGATGTAGACTACTTGGTCGGGGTCCGCGTGATTATCGTAACCAATGGTTGGAGACTCTTGGTGACATGGCTCAGAATTAATCACAATGGCGTCGGTGTATACATTCTCTAACTTCCCTTAAACTAAGAGATTAAAATTGCTTCATATCTTTCTTTTTACGAACTAATTCTTTCTTCCTGTATTATTATATTCTTATTGCGATCTTTCATTTATATATTACCACCTCTGAATTAACTACTTTTATGAATCCGGTATCCATCTTGTTGTGTTAATGAGGTATGACAACTTGGACCGATGCATATATATGCCTGATCCTACGTTGTAGCTGACTGACTGACTGATTATACTGTCAATTGAATTTGAGTATAAAAGTGAAGTAGTCTATGAAAGACATGATGAAATTAACTAACTAGGATTAAGAACAACTCCAGTCAGATATATATATATATATATATATATATATATATATATATATATATATATATATATATATCATTAAAACATGATATTAGAAAAAGCCATAAAATCTGTTGAAAATCACAATAACAAAATAAGCAGAACTTATTGTCACAAGAAACATTAATTAATCAATATTACAATAATGAATAACAGATTGTTAGTTGTTTAGTATAATAAATTCTATTGTGAAAACGAAGCTTTGATTGACGAAGAACTATAACATGGTGTAAACTTTTAGAAATATTAACTCTTTTTTTCTTTCATATACTGAATCATCATATTAATCTAATAGAATTTTTAAGCTAAATTACATAACAGAAAAACTCATTATGTTTATGCAAGATATTAAATGTTAAAGTAAGGAAATATGTAACATATTATGAATAAAAAATTTTACATGTCGTTATTGTAGAAATTTGGAAGACTCTATTGATCTCCCACATTCTACGAGCATTCCGTGTACCTAAATTAATGGTTTCTCTGGTTGTCAGAAGGGGCATCAGCCTCGTGATTTCCGAAGGAACTAGGCTTTTACCATTAGGCGTCATAGCTCTTCTAAATGAAGACCTTCTAACTCCCAGGGTAGAGTTTAAATGATTTGAATTTTCTTTTCTGGTTAGCGTTTTTTTAGCGAGTTAGTTTTCTACAGGATGGGGTCGCTAACCTCATGCCCGACCCTCCTCTCCTTTATCCGAGCTTGGGACCGGCAGCAGCCCCAGGGGGCTCCTGGCGGGGTCAGAGTTACTGGTAAGAAAAAATGCAACATTAATAGTGAGTCTAATTTTATATCAAATTGTCTTGAGTTAATGACAAACTGATTAAGAGCGATTGAGTTCTGAATGTCAAGTCCTAGGTTTGAGCCTTGTCTAGCGTATTCTGATTTGAGTGGCTAGATAGTGTCACTAGCGATAACACATTGAAATGTAGCTTAAAGCCAAATACATAAATAAAATAAAGCATATTAAATCAAAACTGATTATTGTCAATTTGTTGAGCAAGACCATGGATTGATTGAATTTAGACATTAAAACCATTGAACGCTGGGTCAGTGGTTTAGAGGTTAAGCGTTCACGCGTGAAACGGATGGTACTGGGTTCGAGTCCCGCATGCGGGATCGTGGATGCGCACCGCCAGGGAGCTCTATACTAGGATGAAACGGTTGTCCAGTGCTTCCAGGTTTTCAATGGTGATCAAGCTTAGATAAACTCGTGATTTTAACTGGTAAAACACTACAATCTCCACAAATACCCGTACTGAAAAGAAATAATAAACATGAACTTTAATATGATAACAAAAGCATTAATTGACTGAAGTGCGAATGGCCTACAGGAGTTTTCTCAAATCTCCAATAACATGTAATTATATTTTTAGGAGTAATTATCAAGTCAATGAGATAAATGCTCAGTAAGGCATTCATTAATTTCGGTGTAGTATTGATTTAGTATAATGCTGTTGGCATTTTTGTTCAGTATAACAACATAAACCATGCATTTTTCATAGTAATTCTATGCAAAATCTACTTTTCCATTTCTCCTATTTCAGTTACATGTAATTATTATTCACTCATCAACACATGTAAATAAAAATTGGTAGCATAAACAAATGTACTCTGGTTAAAGTTGTCGTGCTTTTAGAGGGTAAATAAAATATGTTACTACAATCAGTTTTACTTTCTTTTTTGTATCGTGTAAGCTACGATTTCTTCTAACAAGTACCAGTTTTCCGCGGTTGTAGTATCAAACATTTAGAAGTTGTGTACAAAGAAGTGAATGTGCATGTTAGCAGGTTATAGATTGGATCCAAGCATAATCCATGCAGAATTGTGTTGGACTACGCTGACTGGTCAGCTTTCTTAGCCAAGCGGCACTAGCGGAAAATTAGAGAAGACTTCAGAATCTTCTGTAAAATTATAAACACATTAGCTTTTCTCTTAGTATGATTCACTAAGATTCAAATTAGTTTTATTTAGAATATAATCACGTATCTGTCCAAGCAGTGTTCTGAATTTGAGAACTGGTCGCGTGAAGTAGTGTCGAAGAATATTAAGTAATAAGTGTGTATTTGTGGCCGAATAACGAAAGATTAAACAATGCAGAAAATGATGTAGAGGATATGCAGAAACCCCACCAGGACAGTTAGTTAGTTACCGACAAAGTAGGACTTCGCACGTCCGTATATCAGTTCGAGTTGCCATACCATATTAGCACACAGATATAATTGTCCAATCAAATACCATAGTGGTAGAGGTAGTAAAAGTATAAGCAGTAGTCACAAACATTAGGGTTTGAAGATGTTATTCAAGGAGTATAATACAGTGAAATAAATTTGGAAAGAGAAAGAACGGACATGAAGAATTCAGAAAATTAGAATTTGGGAGAACACAAAGAGTTGTTGCACCTGCACCATTGCAAACGATTTGGAGCCATGTCATTCAAGGTCTCTAACCATCTGAACAAGGGCAACAGGACAGATTAAAAGAAAAGATCACTTTTACAATCCGTTAAGAGTTGATGCTGCTGTCCGGTAGTGCAATAAAAGCTCTTCCACCAAACCATCTACTTTAGGGAGTTGACCAACACTCAAAAAATATAGGTTTGCGGACTAACTGTGAACAGTGAGTAAATATTGCTGAATAATTGTTTTTATAACTGTTATATCTTAAAAGTTGATTTCTCGATATACCGCGAATAACTGAGCACTAGAACACCAAAACCCTTCCAAGTCGCGGTAAGAAGACAGAAGACTAACGAAAGGAATATTATTCCAAACAGTGTCAATCATAATACAAAATTGTCAGGTATTTATAGTTTTTAGTGAGAACAAAATCATCACTACAGTCTTCCAATCCGCATACAGGGGGTTATTAGCATTATCCAATCGGGAAGCTACACGTTGGAATTCTAGAATATTCTTCCGAAAGGTGATTGGATGAGACGTATTCGGCTCCTTCTGAGCCTCTTACAGCTTCCTCGAGTTCACCGGTGGTCCGTCATCACACCTCCCCATTTAAAGTCAATTGTGTGAGATTTTTTTCTTGGATCCACCTGAAGCTTGGGTGTCGCATTCCTCTTGCGGTCCATT